ATATCTATACGTCTTTCTCATATATCTTTCTTATTATATAAATATAGAAAGGAGAATTCAAATTAGTCGATATATATACTTCTTTCTTATATATTTTAATTTTCATATATATACTAGGAAAAAACCCGCCGTGCAAACACAAGGCCCACGGTTAAATTCACAATGTACTCATATTCTAAGATTAATTGATTACTTGTTAGTTAACTAACTCCCTCTTGTACTTGAGTACATACCCTCTTTATGGATTTTTGGTTAATTTCAACTGCAACGGGTTAGTTGATCTCGAGTTCCGATAAATATGGATCTTGTTTTAGTTATTGATATTTCAGGGCCTCAATTACTATATGATGAGATAATATTGGTTAACCAACCTTATCCTTGATTTATTAAATAGGATTGGGATAAGGTTACATATGACGTGACATGAGTTGGAAGGATAGGTATCCTTGTTGGTGGGAAAAAAAAAAGTCATTATGGTGTGCTAAAATTATCCTTGGTCTTATGACCTTTATTTAATCTAAAATATTTTTATTTAATTTAAAATAATATTATTTTAAATAATTTAATTTTATTTAAAAAAATAGTTTTTAATATAAAAAAATTTAATTTAATTTAAAATAATATTATTTAATTTATAAAATATTAATTTAAATAATTTTACTTAATTTATAATAATATTGTTTAATTTATAAAATATTAATTTAAATAATTTTAGTTAATTTAAAATAATTTTATTTAATTTATAAATATTAATTCAATTAACTTATTTAATTTAAAATAATTTTATTTAATCTAAAATAGTTTTATTTAATTTAAAATAATATTTTTTAAATTATAAAATATCAATTTAGATAATATTATTTAATTTAAAAAATATTGTTCAGTATTAAATATTAATTTAAATTAATATTATTTAATTTATGAAATATTAATTTAAATAATTTAATATAAATTAAAAAAAAATATTTAATCTAAAATAATATTATTTAATATAAAATAACTTTATTTAATTTAAAATATAATTATTTAATCTATAAAATATTTATTTAATTAATTTTATTTAATTTAAAAATATTTTTTAATATAAAATAATTTTATTTAATTTAAATTAATATTATATAATTTATAAAATATTAATTTAATTAATTAAATCAATAATTTTATTATTTATGATAGACTTTTATCCACTCTAATAAACATGACAAAATTTTTATTCAAAATATGATGTGGCAAATTGGATGGAGTAATGTGTCCAATCCCATCATCTCTAGTAAACGAGGCCGAGATATATACAACTTTTGTTGGCTGCTTTTGTTCGCACGTTGTGTGGTTTTTATTAATATAGTACCTCTATCGTTTTGGGAAAAAAAAAATAATAGAGAAAAATGTGTAATATATTATAAATAGTTTGACAAATTATATGACAATAAACAAAATAAAAAGTTTATCTTTTACGACTTAAATTATTAATTAAAAATGTTCTTCAATCTTAATGAATATTTTAATAAATACTTCATACATCTCTTAGGAAATTTATACAAATATTTTAGTATTCATTTATATTTTATTAATTTATATAATAATAATTTAAATAGTTAAATGTGCAGAGTAAAATATAGCGCGAACGGCTGAATATGAAATTTGTTTTTGTTTAACTCTACTCTAAAGTAGAGTAATCTCTATTCTCTACGTAGAGTAGAAATAAGAGTTGGAGATGATCGACTAATACAAAAGGACAAATCGATGATTTGATATCTCCATAAAAGGTAACAACAAGAATGTATGCAACTCCCAACTATAATAAAATTGGGAAAGGTCCCCCACCACACCTAATTAACTGCTATTTAATTTGAACCACCGCCCTATTAGGCAAACTACCGGCCAACCTTTTCATCTGCTCTATTTTTATAGTAAAGTTAAGATTCATACACGCTTTAATTAAATTATATTAACCCATCAAGCCACATTTAGATGTTTTTAAATCAATGTTAATCTTAGAATATGAAATGATTTTTTGCAACCCATTATTAAGAATTCAAACCATTACATTCAAATGTATCATATTATTTGATGAACAAATCATGAACTTTACGTAAATTGCAAATTCAATTAAACTTTTTTAAGTTGACATGTCAATAAATATTTTTAATTTTTTATTATAATATACCAATTTGAAAATGTTTGATCTAATCTGCAATTTACGAAAATATCGTGATATTTCTTGCAATGAAGTCTAATAATAATGACAAATATAATAATTTAGTCCCCTGTCTGCTTTAATTTCCCATAATCCAGCTAAGTTTCTAGAGAACATTATATTGACCAAAAATATATATAGTAGAGGAGAATGCTACCATCCCGTTACGGGATGGTTCCGTTGTATTTTTTAACCGTAGATTATCTACACAATACTAGATTACATGTATATCTACGTCTACAAAAGACAACGGAACCATCCCGTAACGGGATGGTAGCATTTTCCTATAGTAGAACAATGAATATATATGTACCCAAATTCAAAAAAAAAAAAAAAATATCCAAATTGAGTCACGAGCCCTTCACAAGCTTGTCTCCAAATCCCTCAAAATTGAGGCCACTTGTGAAATGGATGGCCTATTCTCCCTACAATTCCCAACACAAGCCAAAGCCACCTTACCTAATCTTACAAGTGGCTCCACATGAGTTGGAATTGGAAGTCTTGGGTCCAAAAACTCACAAAACCTCAACTCCTTAATCAAAGGCAAAGCCCATTGAACAATCAACCCTCCCTCACTCTTCCTCCCACTCAACAACTCCAACAAAACAACACCGAATCCAAACACGTCGCACTCCTTCGACGCCCCATTTTTCTCCTCCTCCGATGTCCAATACGAATCGTCCACGTACCCCACGAGACCCTGCTTCTCGTGGGGCGCGAGGAAATGTAGCCCGTAGTCTGTTAACCGGGCGCAGAATTTCACGTCGACCAGTATGTTTGATGGCTTCACGCATCCGTGGATGATTGGCGGGGCCACCACTTCGTGGAGGTACTCGAGTCCTCTGGCGGCGCCGGCGGCGATTCTCAGCCGCCGGCTCCAGTCGAGGAGGGCCGCCCCGTCGGGATTCTGGTGGAGGTAGAAGTCGAGGCTCAGCATGCCGTCGAATTCCATCAGTATGATTCGTTCGCCGGGAGCCTCTGAGAATCCTGCATTCAAATGCCGCCACAAAATTGAGATATTTTTGGTATTAACATTGATAATCAATATTGGATTTTAATATAGTACTCATATATTGAGAGAGAGATGTCTAGCTCATTAAGAAATCGCTTTCTAGATAGAGCAACTATTTTATAGAATAAAATATCGAGTGAGTAATTAAGTAAATATTAATACTTGTAACTCGTACAGTTTCATTCTCGTGTTCACGACATACACATATTAATAGATTCACCCGATTGATGTAACATGAAATGTGAAATGTGGGTGTGTGACCGACAAGGTCACGAAATTTCGACACGTGACTGATGAACACATCTTAACGTGATCAGAGTGGATAAGTAGATAAATCGAGTTATCCCATTTTTGTGATTAATGGATCACTTTTTTGATGAAATTTAACAAATTAATGTATCAATAATTTGATGTCTATATATCATTTTCAACCGAAAGCAAAGTAACTAGACTAAAAATGAAGTGAGCATTTATTTAATTCACTTTCAGATCAAAGTACCTGTGATGGGCACCAGATGGGGATGATCACATAGCGACAGCCATTTGAGCACCGTCGAGAACCTAAACCCGGCGTTATTAAGCACCAGCCGCGGGTGGATCCTCTTCGCTGCCGCCAGCTCCCCCTTCGCCATCACCGCCAGGTACACCGTGCCGATCCTCCCCTTTCCGATTATCCGCCGGTGGTTGAACCCGTCGGTGGCCGCGTCCACCTCCGTCAGCGAGTACGCCGCCGCCGCAGCGACCCTGGCAGCCGGTACTCTCTCCTCGTCCTCCGCTTTCGCCGGAGGCTTGCGCCGACAGAGGACGAAAAGGACGGCGGCGAAAATCAGAGTAGTCGCCGAGAGAACTGCCAAAACGACGTAGTACGCCATTACGCTTATATTTTCTCCGCCACTCATTTTGCCTGTTTTTTTTTTTTAAGAAAATAAATAAGTGAATAAAAAGGGTAAAAATTTTGAATTTATTTTTAGTGCTAATGATTTTTAGAAAGAAAGGCGGATTATTATGATGAATGAAAGAGTATGGGCAAAGATTTTGAATAATAATAATAAAAAAAAGGAAATGATATGATGGTATTATTAGCTGACGTATAAATGTAGCCTTTGACAATAAGGTTTGGATTTGGTAAGCAAAAAGGTGGAAATTTTGGTGCTTTGGTGTGGTTATATATTAGCTATTCAAACCGGTTGCCTCCCTAATTAATAATTCAAGAATATAAAAATGTTGATGTGAAAGTATAAAACATTTAGGAAGATGTTACGGTCTGTTACGGAACTATTTTATCGAAATTTATAACCGTTAGATCAATTATATCTGACGATTACATGATAATCTAACGGTTTTATACGGGACCGACATGGAATTCTCTAAGAGAGCAATGGATGATTGGCTTACCTAAGATATGTAAGAAGAAGACCGGTTACGAAAGCGCTAGTTGCGGCAACTGCAGGAGTTCCTACTCGTACTCATACTCAAGCACCTGATACGATCATTGTCCTATCAGTGCGGACAAGGCAGTCTGCCCAAGAAAAGAAGCAGTGGGAGTCAAGGCAGTCTGTGCTTTCTAAGGCCTCTATGTCGATCTGCATTTTCCTGAAAATTTAACTATAAAAATATATATTTAGTGAAAGATTATGTTGTCACTCATTGAACAATTTTATAGAAAATCTACTCTAAAAAAATAGAAATGGTTGATTGTATGTGATGTTTGGAGTTTGGACTATTTAATATTATACAAATGATATTTTTTGCAAAAAATATATATTTTTATTTCCTTACTAAAAAAAGAAAAGGAGATTGCTATTTGATGAACAATAAGAATTTGAGAAACATATTACATATTATAGAGAATAACTTGAATAAAAATATATGTTTTTTATTAAAAAAAAGATGGATTAATGTCTAATTGCTTATTAACAACAAGAAAATGTCTAATTGTTTTCATATTGACTCGCACCATAATTGTGCAATATCTTTTACATATCCAATCCAAATCTTGTATTCAACACGGTGTTCCACGTTACTACTTATTGCTACTATCTTTTTTTTTTTTTTGGGTACATTATGATTTTGTTAAATACACAACTATAGCATTTTTTTTTTTAAAAAAAAATATATAGGTTCCTTTTCCTCCTTTTTTTATGTTGCTTTTGAAAGAATACTACTACATTTTTATTTGAAGCTATGAGTGGTTGTCAATGTGCGAAAAAATTGTGACACTTATTTTCAAGCATTAATTCGGAAATCAGTAATATAAAATTAGGTATGACTTGGTTTTAATTAATTTTTGATGTAAAATATTTAATTCGGGTTGAATTAAATTGTGTAGAAAAATTCTACGTTTCGAGTAGATCCTTTTGGTATATTTTTTTCTCAAAATTGATTTTCGATGAGTGAAAAATAAATTATTAAAGTTAGTCATAAATAGGCACGCAAAACGTTGGTTATGGGATTCGAATGGTCAAAATTCATATCCCACATAAAACTCTTGAATGAGATTACTCTCTTTATTATAATAAAGAGAGTTAGAGAGGTCACAACAACAACGAAACAATGCACCAAGTGTTGGTGTTTTGGGCTGAGGTTTTAACGTGTGACACCTTCCAGGATTGAACCTGGATGTGTGACCTTTCAGTTGTCTACCACCTGGCGGTTTCAGGAGTTATAAGGTGGCTTAATGTTGAGTTAAACACCATAATGTTAGTCGTTTATTAGATTGATTAAAGTTGAATTAATCTCTTTAATGTAGCCATTTATAAGGTGGATTGAATGCAATTAATGAATGTGATGACCACCAAAATTCTCCTACTTGTGATGGAAGTCCTACAAATAGGACGAAAGCCGGTATACCCAGAAGTAGGAGCTGTGAACCACTCCACTGACTGGGAACTACCCTCTGTCTCAACTTGAAAGCAATAGAGTTGTAGATGAAAAGAGACACTTGATCAGATGTTTGGACATACAATCATCTGCATACTCTCAAAAGTGTCACGTGTCATAACATTCAAGTGCTCAGTTCTCGACTACATTCAAGTTCACCGGAGCTCGAAAACTAGTGTGCTACAGCCTTCGAGACGTCAACCGTTGTATCTTTGGGAACAAGACGCCTGAATTCGTTAGCACTATACGAGGCATTTTCGTCTTGCAGAAAGAGTAATCGCGTCGGCTTGGTTATCGATTTTTTTTTTTTTTTTTT